TTTTACTGGTCTTTTCAAAAAGCCCCCCTTTAGTTTCATGATTTCTCTACTGTTTTCTATTCTCTATTGCATTTTCTCTACTCTTATTTCCTTCTGTTGGTTTGGGTATAGCTTGCTCTTCTTTTGACAGTTTCTTACAGTGAAAAGTTATTCATTTGGGATGCCTACTTTGGGTTCTAGTTCTATTGAGATATAACTGACACGCCATTCTGTTGACAGTTCAGGTGTGGCACATGCCTTGCTGTACAGACACTGTGACATGATTACCACAGAATGTTTAACTAACATCCATTTCCACCCATACAGTAAAAAGTTCCCTTGTTACTTTAAAACTCATTTCATGGGTCACCTTAGCCCTCCCATGAAGTCCTCTTGGTCTCTCGAAACTGAAAACCACGAACAAACTGCCTCCTCCACAAGGAGCCCCTCCTCCAGGGCTAGTTCAGTGCCCACTACGCCGCCAGTGAGGCGTGCTTGCAGTTATAAGGTGAGTGATTAGCAGTGTAAGTGGGAAAATTCTGAGCACTTTAGTCTACAGAGAGCCCCAATTCATCCAAAGTGGTAGTAACACAAAACTTAAAAGATAATCCTTTGTACCAATAAAAAAAAGCTTTATTAAAGATAATTACAGAAGCTGTGGCTCTATCACATTTGCCTTAAGAAATGTGGCATAAGCGTGGCCCTATTAAAGGGATTAGCTAATAAAGCACCAAACAGGCCCTTAGCACAGACCAGCCCACTGGACGAGCACTAACTCTGTGGACGGTGTTTTGCTCCGCTTACGTGCACCCTAACAGCGAGCAGGCAACCCCACCAACTCTCGTTCTCCAGCGAAAGTTAACTCTAATCAGCTTTTAGTCATTTATGCTATCGATCAGTCTTTTCAAAAAATGCATCACCTCTTCAGAATGGAGCCAAAATACCACGCCCTGGCCCAGGATCTCCACAGGGAAACATGGGGCACACACTACCTGGCTGAACATATTCACGGGGTGCTTCATGAGCTTCCTCGAGCATAAGAAAGAAAAATATCGGTTTCTCTGCATGTATTCCTTTTCCTAACTGCAGGGCCCCGTTTGTATAACTTAATCCAGATGTTCATGTCATAGCGCTACTCGGGACAAGCAGGGCTGGCTAAACTGCCTTCTATGCTGAAAACCTATACCTCATGTCTCTCACTTGGTAAAAGCAGAGATACACATTAGGTGTATATAGAAACCATCTATATGTACCTTGGTGCGTCTGTCTGTACAAATTCTTCTCTCTTACATACTTAACACCTGCAAATAAATCATGATTGACCACATAGTTGTTCCACTAGTGTTCCTTTTTAGGGAATAAAATATTTTCTGGTTTACTACAATCTAGTCTCACCCATTTATCAACTGAAATAATATGAAAGTTTTAAATCCAAAATGATCTTACTATCTTCTCAGAGTCAGTAACAATTTAGTAATTTTAATTATACCAGGCTTCCTGGTTTCTGGCCTGGACCACAGTTTAAGCCCCATAAAAGATGGCTTTGTCATGAAAATATTTTTTTTCGAAAGTCAGGCTGGTTGTCTACATATGCCAAAGAACATTAAAAAAAAAAAATTTTAAGAGAGCAAGAAAGAATTCAGAGTGTTTCAGTTCTCTAAGGCATGTTGAGAGGTGGCAAAAATGACCTCATGAGAGGGGCCTCCCTGGTGGCGCAAGGGGCTGAGCGTCGCACTATGAAGCAATCTGCAGTCTCTGCAGCACGAGTTCGATCCCTGGCCAGACAGGAGGGAGAAACCACATGGCGCAGCAGACCTCTCCTGTCTCGCCTGCTGCTCCCCTCAGCAGTGTATTTCAGTCAGTCTGCCTGTTCTGCTCCCCGCTCTGTCTCTGGTGTATCCTTTCACCCCCCACATCTCTGGCCTGTGCCCTAGCTCTTGTATGCATAAATAAATAAATCTTTTTAAAAAAATGACCTCATGAGAAAGCAAGCAAGAAGGAACAGAAAAACAAGGAAGAAAACACATCAAACCATGACAATTTGAAATCCCAAGCTAAGTGCAGTAAACTTTAATTTTCAGCTCTTCTAGGGAAACTATTGGCATAAGATAAAAATTTAACTTTCATCACACAATGGAGAGATGAGGTGACAGACGAAGTTTTGTAAATATTCTTACCAAAACCTTCAGGCTGGTGTATGGCATTGTTTCCTAGTGTGTGGCATTGTTTCCTAGGCACTAAGCCCTCTGGATAGCAATAGGTATTTTATGAATAAAGCAATGGTCACACAAGCTAGGAAATTGCCAATTTTGACAAAATGGACCAGGTTTGTATACTATAGGACTTCAAAGCCTTTAATGGGCTCATATGCACCGTGATGCTCCCACAGGGGGGCACAGCAGCTGCAGCCTGCAAATCTCTTACCACAGAGCCCTATTCATAGCTCCCAGAAGACTGATGTATCAGGAGCCGCTTGGGAAAGCCCAGAATACATAGGTGCCCCATACAGATGGTCAGGGGAGCATCTCCTGGGGCCAATATGAGGAATCTGACATGGCAGAGACTACATTCAATCATGTTCTTCACCCATGGCCTCATATGTGGCATCTGTGTTCCACTTACAGTGGGGGAAAGGGAGGCTAGTGGGGGAAAGGAGTGGCCCAGGGGTTTTCTGCCAGCATTTCTTACACACTGTTCTTGTAGTCTGAAATGGCCATAGTTAAGCAGCTGAGACAGAGGCTTGAGCTGCATGCTGGACTCACTGCTTACACTGTGATGGGAAATCTGGCTGGTTGACACAGAGGCCCATTCATTAACTGTGACTTGGGAATTCCAGGTCCCCCTGTCAGATCCTAGTCACTAAGTCCCCAAGCAGGCAGGAAGCCCACTTCAAGCAGCTCAGACGGGGACTGCCAAGAGCTGGAGGGCTTTTCACAACCAGAAAGGAACTTCTGCTGCTTGCACTGCAGAAAGTAAGACAGGTCTACCACATTTTCATCCAGGTGGCTAACCCATTGCCCTGCCCCAGTTCGAACTCAGCAGCGCCAGAATGTCCACCAATTCTGTTGTGACAAAATCTGGATTTGCCATAGGTATAACTCAGGAGCCTCGTCCGGTCTAGCTGCTTCTCAGGGGCATGTCCTTAACTGCAAGCACAATGGCACAATGGAAGCACCTTGGAGATGGGCCTTGGTTGGGGCACTGGGTATGTCACTTTGGCCAACCTGCTTAACCCCAGCATGCCTCACTTCCTCACCCGTTTAAAAAAAAAAAAAAGAGTATCAGAACATCTCAAAGACTGCTGTGAAGACTGCACACAGAGGGCATTTGGCACGCTGCCCAGTCCACCATCAAAGCTTGGTACACACCACTATAGGAAATGGGCAGAATTACAATCAAGGAAATTCAGCTTGGGCAGAACCACTGCTTTGGCATCAGGAATCTAGCAGGGACTCAATAAATACTTGTTGACTAATGAACCACGATCTCTTACAGTCAATGCTGAGGTATTGAAAAGGGTTCTCACACGTTTATAGTATAAGTGGCTCAGGCTTTTAGTACCTTCAAATTGAAGCAAGAAGCCAATTCCTCATAGTATTTGCATCTCTAGGTTGAGTGGACACTAAAGGCCATTTAATTCTCTAAAAGAAGTACAAGCAAATGTAAAAAGATACTTCAGTGACTAAGCAACTCCATTCACAAAGTGTACTGCGAACCCAGGGCAGTGAAGTAGAACTAGGCTGTTTAGAGAGAAATCTCTCAAAAATTTCTGCCAAAAGTCAGAGGGTCTTCCTAAAGATAGTTTCCCTCAGTAACAACTACCGAAAGGAAGGCTCTGTTGCAGCTTCACCCCACTCCCGACTGCGGCTTGCTTCCCATTTTCAATGCCACAAAAAGTGTCAATGATTAAGGCTACAGTATGTGTGTAAATAAGACAGAATTTATTAGCACAGGTTTGGGTGACACTCTCCTGCTCCTACCGTTCCTACCTGTAGTTCCAAGGGAAAATACTGTAACAGGGGCTAAATGGTTAAATTTCTTTCCAACCCTACAGCACAAAAGAAAACAAACTCACCTAGCTTGCACTCTGAGGTTTGCTTTCACGGCAGAACTTGGGCCTTGTTTACAAATAATACAGTCTGAGAAAGCAGAAGGGACTAACCTTGAGCTGAGTCCCAAGCCAGCTAGACCCAAGAGGCTGCAAAGGCAGAGGAGGGGGCCACCCAGAGGCAGGGTCCCTCCAACAGAAGATCAGAACCCCAGTTATCTGAAGACTTCTTTATCTATGAACTACCCTGTGACTAGCCAATAAACTTCAACCCAGTCCATACTGCTTTGCCTTTAGTCCATTCCTTAGCCAGTACACTTAACTCCTTTTGATCTCAATCCAGTACCCCAAAATGTATATATAATCTCACTCCTTTTCTTAATCGGGGAGTCAGACTTCAGTTTATCTCCTGTCTTGAGGCCAAGTGACTCACCATAAAGCTTCTCTCTTTTCTCAAAACCCAGTGTCATGGTATTTTGGCCTTGACACATGTCTGGGAGGAAGCCCATGGCTTGGCAACAATACTATTTGGGAGAGAATACAACAGGCTGAAACCCCAGCACTAAGCCCATGTTGATGACCACCCGTTTTTAGTTTATGCAGAATGAACACAGCTCCTAAGACACTGATAAAGCCTATGCCCCAGACTACACATACTATAGATTCCCTGCCCTCACCTGGAGAAATGTCCCTTCTTCTAGTCCTTTCTCTGAATGAAAATCACATGCAATTCTCTACAGTGAAAAGTCAAGTAGGACATCTTCTTGGTTGCTTACTAAGGGAATTTTCCCTTTCCATATGAGGTTAGGGGCCTGGCTAGATTACAAAGAAGTCAATCACTCTCTGCATCCAGATGTCATCTTGGGCATCTGACCTGTCAGTTCTGTGGCAATCAGCCCTTGCAAAGGAAGCACAGTGGTAGGACAACCTCCTTACTACCAAAGACTTTAGAAAATCAACATCTGTTTCTTACCTGTGATGGACAAGGTCTTGGAGGGAGTGCAGGTGGTGGAGGTAACAATCCTGACTTAGTAGCTAAAAATAAAAAAAAAAAAACATACTGTTAAGGCACACCAAAGTGAAGTGAAACAAAACACCCTTCCACCTGTTAACTAGGAACAGCAATAGAATTTAACATGCTTAAGTTTTTTAAATCCACCTGAAGGCTTCATTTTTAAAAAGGAATACATATTGTCTCTAATTCCTTTTTATTTTCATTCTACCCAAAACTCAAGTATTGATGTAAGCTGTTGTCATTAAGAGAGTATGAACAAGGGAGACAGATATCCTTTGACCAAAAGACTGGAATCTACCACCCGAAAGACGGTCAACCCTCCCCCCACTATTGTGATGTTAACTATTTTGCTTCAAATAGTGTAGGCCTCTTGGCTTCTCCCCTATCTCTCCTGACCTCCTGGCTATCACACTGCTCACTGGCTCAGGGACAAGGGTACACAAACTAAGGGAGCCAGAATCCCAATGAGGCAGCTCAGCAACACTGTAAGTGAAGGGAGCGGAAAGCAGTAGGGAAGGCTCAATGTGACAGACAAATATGTTACTTAGGGAGTCTTCGAAGTGTTCCATTTCCTTCTCTCTCCCTGATTCCCATTACCAGGAATAACTAAATCTGTTTCTAAAAAAAACATGGCCCCGTTTGAATGATCTTTTGAAAGAAAGCTTTAGTTCAGTTTTTTCAACTTTGGGAGATAAAGAAAAAAACTGAAATAAGCAAAGAGCATCTGAATTGCAAATTAATAATGAAAATAAGCAACTGGTATGGAATTATAAATAAAGCTTAAAACCACACACAAGAAATAAATTTATTATCACACTCTAGCAAGTTAAACCACATTCTTTACAAACTCCTTAGAAAAATACACCATGATCTATATACCTCTATGTTGTTTATTTGCAAAATTGTAATGTGTGCTAATATTTGGGCAATTTTCTGTGCCTTAAAAATAAATCATAGCAATGTGCCAAGAACATGAAAGATTTTGCAAATCACTTTTGATTTAACCTAGCAGGATCAGACAAGCTAGAAGATGGAGTTCAGGGCTCTTTACAAAAGTAACTCAGAATAATTTCATAGACATTTCATCCTGAGCCAGTACACAAAGTATATCCATGTGGGCCCATCAATGATTTCTCTCAATCTGTCTTTCATTAAAATTTATGAAACATGGGCTTTCTTGGTGGCCCAGGGGTTAAGTCTCAGCACTATCATTGCTGTAGGCTAGGCCTGAGTTCGATTCCCGGCAAGGAAGCTGACCTACATGGCGCAGCAGACCTCTCCTGTCTCCCCCCCGCTGCTCCCCTCAGCAGTGTATTTCAGTCAATCTGCCTGTTCTGTTCCCCACTCTGTCTCTGGTGAATCCTCTCACCCCCCCACACCTCTGGCCTCCACCCCTGTTCTTCTACATAAAAATTTTTTAAAAATTTATGAAACACATCAATGTGTCAAAACTTTAGAGGTACCAAGACCTAGAACGGCCTTTGACTGCAAATCATGAAACAACAATGACAAAAGTCTCCAGAATTATCCATCTCAGGGCCCTCACTCACAGGCTGTCATAGATTGGGCATTTAAATTACCAAGTACTTTAAAAACAAAATGAAATAAAACCAACAAACCAATCAGCGAAAGCTTTTATGGGAAAAGGCTTGCACCAGAATGAAGTGTTAAAAATAACACTTTATTGACAAAAAAGGACTAAGAAATGGCAAGCCATTTAATCAAATTAACTTCAGCTTCCAGCCAGGATGGAGTAACAGCAACCAAGTTACCCTTCCACTTAAAACAGTCAAAATCAGAGGGAAAAAAAAAACATAAGAAACTACTCTTCAAGACACTGGAAAAAAATATGTTTTCAAAACACTAGAAAATTAGGGAACAAAAGATGGTGACCCCGAGACAGGAAGCAAACAAGGTGAGCCATGTGATTAAATATCCTGCTTTTGCCATGAGTTACTAAAAGCAGCACCTACATCCAGATTCATGTCTAATTAATTTCATTTACTGTTTTTTTTTTTAAACAAATGTACTGATTTTATAAAAAATGATGTGCGTCAGCTTCTGAATGTACTTTTGGATAAAATGATATCACCTATATTAACAGTAATTTTGTTTTTTCTTTTCTGTACTTCATGTATTTACTTTTGGTCCTACAAAACAGGCAAGAACATCTACTGTGAAAAAAAATTATAATGGTTATATGGGCATTCTTACCTTCTCTGGATCTCAAAGGGAAGGCTTTTGCTATTCTACCCTTAAGTATGGTAACTGCTGTGTGGGTTTGCTACGGATACCTTTCAATGGATTATGAAAATCCCCATCTCCTTTTGAGACTTCTTGACATGATAATTTACTGCTGATTTTAACCAACGCTGCACCTGTCTCCACTGAGATGGTAATATTTCCTTATGTTAATATGATAAATTACATTGTGATTTTTTTAATGGGTTCCTTCTCTCTCTCATTTCTTGTGCCAGAAACCTGAAGGCATCATCAACCTGGGACCACTTTATACTAAAACTTTGGCTTGGTGCTATGTAGGAATCCTACTTTCTGCTGTTGTGATATTTTGTTCAGTGTTCAACAGTCAGACTTTTGAGCATACCCCACTTTACCTGGATAACTCAGAATACAGTAAGTGACTGGCAAGCATTTGTTTAAAGTAATATAAGTAATACTGGGTCATACTCCAGCCCCATATTAAAAAAAAAACAGAAAGATTAAAGCAGTTTAGAAGCAGTCAGATCCTCAGATTTCTTCCCACATTCTTCACAGCTTCAGCATGTTTCCTAATTCAGCCAAAGGCTAGAATGATTTTTTTTCTCCAGGGACGCCAGGTCCACCAAGGTGCAGGAACCATACTAAAAACAGGGGTATCTCTCTCTGTTCCTGCCCAGTGGCATCCCAAGATTAGAAGAATGTGTTACAGGGAATTGGACTGGTCAGGAAGATTCAGATACCAATGTCTGAATCTTGGTAGAGATCTCCACCAAGATGGAGATCCCTGCCAGATCATTCTACCATGAAGCCAACAGTTGACAAGTACCATCCATGATTCATATATTCCAAATCAATTTTTGAAGCCCTCATTCTTAAATGGATGCAGTTGGTAAAGTACTACCAAGTATCTGCAGAAAATTTTCTAATCCATGCTAGAGTATTAAAAATAGAAAACATTAACCTCAAGTCAACAGATCAAATTCTAGGAGAAAAAAATGTTTAATGTGTATTATTGATGTCACTGGAATGATCTTTCACTTTATTCCAGAAATATTTAAACATTTACCATATATTTGAGGTGTTGGGGGAAATATCAATGAAAAAGTAAGCAGGAAATAAAAGTCAACTTTCATGAAACTTTCATCCTATTGATTAGACAGATAATGGAGTGGAATTTAGGGATGAAACTAAGGGAAAACCTTTTTTAAAAAAATATTTTATTTATTTATGCATACAAGAGCTGGGGTACAGGCCAGAGGTATGGGGGGGGGGTGAGAGGATTCACCAGAGACAGAGTGGGGAGCAGAACAGGCAGACTGAGTGAAATACACTGCTGAGGGGAGCAGCAGGCGAGACAGGAGAGGTCTGCTGCACCATATGGGTCAGCTCCCTGGCCAGGAATCAAACTCATGCTGCAGTGGCGGTGGATAGCTTCATAGTGCTGAGACTTAAACCCTTGCACCACCACGGAGGCCCTAGGGGAAAACCTTAATAAAAGATGAGATGCTATTTGCAAAGAGAAATTAATGGGTTGTTGTTGCAAGAACATTCAAAAAAATTAAAAAGAGCACTTGGAAATTAAAAACATGACACAGAAAGGATAAGCTTCATAGAAAGACAGATTCAAAGATAATCTGAGGAAATCTCCCAGAGAGTAATAATATCCAAATAAGTTCAACAAAAAGATCTACGAAAAATAACAAGAACTCAAATAGTCCAAGAAAATTTCCCATAAATGTGTTCCTAAATTAAAGGGGCCCACTGTGTACCCAAGACAATGGAAAAAAGCAAGGCACATAACAATTTCAAAATACCGGAATCAGAAGATTCTACAAATTTCCAGCAGGGGGCAGGAGAGAAGAGCAGGTCACATACAGAATATCAGGAATCCAAATGGTTTTAGACTTAATATACCACTGGGGCTAGAATTTACTGCAGCAATGCCACCAGAACTATTAAGAAAGCATTTCTAACCAGTGACTGTCTAATGCAGACTAGCAGCCCATATGGTGGTCAAATAAAGGATATTTTTAGACATTTAGGGTCTCAAATTAAGCTCCATGCACGCTTCCAACAATCTACAAAATGATATCCTCTATAAAAAAAAAAAGAGTAAACAAAGAAAGAGCAATACATGGGACACAGGGTAAAAGAGATACAGCGTGGGAGAAAGGGGAAGAGGTTCCTTGGATGACAGGTAGGTGCCGTGATCAAAATGATGTACCAGGCATAAGGACAATCACTTTAGATTTCTTCAAAAAGATGAAACTAGTATCATATCTCATGTGTCAGAATTTAATAAGAGAAACTTTAGAAAATTGAGGGAGTCTGAAACAACTCATTGAAAAGAAATGGATTGATTATTCTCTCCAAGTCAAATGAAAATCTGTGCAAGCAAAGCATTTACTATATGGTTTACATAACCATAATAACAAACTAATTAAATGTTAATATAACCCAAATTATAGCTCTAGTGGGAAGGTGGAAGAAGCAAAGGGTACTGGGGGTGGGGAAACAGATGATGACTAAAATTTAAAAGTCAAGGGCCTCCCTGGTGGCGCAAGGGGTTAATAAGCACCGCACTATGAAGCAATCTGCAGCCTCTGCAGCACGAGTTCAATCCCCGGTTGGCCAAGGAGCAACCCACATGGCACAGCAGACCTCTCCTGTCTCGCCCGCTGCTCCCCTCAGCAGTGTATTTCAGTCAGTCTGCCTGTTCTGCTCCCCGCTCTGTCTCTGGTGAATCCTCTCACCGCCCCCACCCCCGCACCTCTGGCCTGTACCCCAGCTCTTGTATGCA